TTATTTTATTAAAAGTTGGTGAATGTATTTATCTTACTGTAAATAACAAGTGAAAAAATTTTCAGCCTTATCAGTTGGACATTCCGGTTTTTATATTGCTTTTTTTTAATTCACTAACGCTCTAAAAATGAATATTTCAGCCGCAGTAAAGAATCAACGTTGGCGGATTTTGGTTCTTGACATCCTTTACGATCGGTTACGATGCCTAGAGTACGGAGACCTGTACGATTTCGTCAACTTAGTGAGTTTGATAGGGGCCGTATAGTGGGACTTCGGGAAGCTGGACTTTCTTTTCGGGCAATTGCAGTTAGAGTGCAAAGAAGTGTAGACACTGCGGTTAGGTGTTGTCAGGCACGGCTTCGAGAAGGCCGTACGCAAAGAGCAAGGGGCACTGGACGCCGCCGTAGAACAACAGACCGTGAAGATCGCCGCCTAAGATTATTGGCCTTAAGGGACCGTTTCTCCACTACCAGGTCCATTGCAAATGAATGGTTTGCAGAACACGGAAGACCTATTGGCATGCGAAGTGTTTACCGACGAATGAGAAGTTTTGGCTTGTTTTCATACCGGCCACACTGGGTCCTCCCTTTAACTCGAGAACACCGACGTAATCGCCTTGAGTGGTGCAGACAACGGTCACTCTGGGATCAGGAATGGAACAGTATTGTCTTTAGTGACGAGTCTCGATTTTGTTTAGGCATGCACGATGGTCGTGCCAGGGTTAGAAGGCGACGTGGTGAAAGGAGGAATCCACAGTTTTTTGTTGAAAGACATGTTCATCACACTGTTGGAGTTATGGTTTGGGGTGCTATAGCTTATGGTTCCAGGTCACCTTTAATCTTCATCAGAGGTAACATGAACGCGCAGCGTTATATCCACGAAGTTCTAGAACCCCATCTTTTACCCTATCTTGACACCCTGGCAGATCCAACTTTCCAACAAGATAATGCCCGACCACATGTTGCAAGAGTCACAATAGACTTCTTTCAACATAATGATGTCACATTGTTATCATGGCTACCAAGATCTCCCGACTTATCCCCAATTGAGCACGTGTGGGATATGATGGGTAGGAGATTGCTCAATTTGCAACGTGCTCCTCAGACTCTAGAAGCACTTCGAGAGTTGTTGGTGGTTGCCTGGAATGAGATACCACAGGAGGACATTGACCACCTGATCAGAAGCATGCCTAAGCGCGTTGGAGAATGCGTAGCACATCAGGGTGCATCCACACATTATTAAAGGTCAAAGGGCTTTAAAGCAGTGCAATCATTTTGAAATTTTTATCATTTACTTATTATGCTTCATTAAGTACTTATACAAAATTTTATTAAAATAAAACCATTTAAACTGGGTGTTCGGATTTATATGTCACTTAGTATATATTTTTGGAATCAGAATTAAAAACATTATCTATCTGACTCAAATCCAATATGGCGTATGCTGGAGGACAATTGACGAAATGTCATATTGAAATTCTAATAATACCATCTTGTAGAGGAGAAAAAGTGCCATTGGTATTAAGCAGTTTATTTCGAAAGCCCATTACAAATAAACTTAGTAAAAAATAGAAGTGATTTTGGGAAAATTCTATTTTTCCCATCCGAAAGTAATTTGAACTTGAAAACTTTATAAGCGGCGCCTGGTTTGTTAGCTGAATACGCAACTTATCCCTCATTTAAGTCACTTCGTATCTCTTAGCTTTCCGAAATCCCATGGTGAGGGTCGAATTTGAAACATATGGTACATAGTTAATAGAGAAACAGCTGTGACAAGTTATCATAGATAACCCTACGGTATCTCATTTTATCTCGAATAATTTTTTAGCCGCGGGAATATAGCACTATATTGGCTATTGGTAGAATACGTTGATCAATGGCTGTACACTAAAAATATGTTCAACGGGTTGCATTTTAAACGTATTCAAAGTGTTTCCATGTTTCAAATGTCGATAAAGGGTAGAAGTTCCTTTTTTTCGATATACCTAATGTTCGTGTCCTTCATATTTTCATTTCTTTTAGACTGACTTTCTGCATATGATTTTATTACATTTGGTTGAACTTTTATAGAGCATGATAAATTGTAATAAAAAATTTAATTACATATAATTCTTTCAGTTTTGCACACATATTGAAAACACCAGGTATGTGATATATCCATACACTCCTACATATAACAAACGCACCTTTAGCAATTGTTATATCAGACCTACTTCACTTCCCAGTGATAGTGTGTAAAAATGCTTGGATAATGTCTGGACTTTACAGACGAAGCTAGGAAGACACCAGGCGCGGATCCAGGGTGGGGGTCATGACCCCCCCCCCAAGGCGAATTTAGTTCGACTACCAATTCTTAAAGTTCCAAATCTCTTAGATAAATCTTTAATGCACACATATTAAATGGATGTTGTATTGGTATTTCTACTAAATATTTGCAGCACTGCATCCGTCAACTTTGATTTAACTGCAAGCTCATAGATGATAGCGCAAGAATGGTTGCCTAAGCGGTCAGCTTGATGTAGGATCGGGGACAGACGGACAACTGTTTTGCGAATAACATAAATTACGGTTTTTTTTTTAAAGTAATTTGATGCAAAAAGTTAATCTGATGCTGCTTCAACGTGCCACTAAAACAGCTAATTCAAATGTTTCAATATTTACGCGGATCTAAAAATTCTTGATAACGTAAAATCCGTCTAAATTGTTCAGATAAAGTTCGAGTTACAGATTTTGCTGGCAATAGGGATGCCACATATTAACAGGGGCTTAGAACTATATGCACAGTAGTAGCTGCTGCGCACTGTTACCTCTGTTTTTTTACTATATGCCTATATAACCTGAATCAAGTAGAAACAGTGAGATCAAACATTTTTTATTCAAAACTAAATAACAGAATTATTCTAATTTGAATCCGCGTCTTGCACAAATTTCCATCGCAGAATCAAAATTGAGTGTATTAGCTACTGATCTTTCGATATAGAGGATAGACAAGTTGATGAGTGTAGCCAAAAAAGCTCGACGGTATTCTTTAATAATTTTCAAAGAGCTCATGACACGTTCAGCACTAGCTGAACCGATAGGCAAAGTCAAAAACAATCTCAATAATCTGCAGCTCTCTGTCTACAAAATTGTTTCCAATCATGAACTACAAATAATCTAGCGAGCTGTCATTAGTAAAATGACGATTTTCCGAAAAATACATGCTGGTAAAACTGGCTAATTCATATCTTAGATCTGTAGTGAAAAATTCCGAATATTTTTCTATCAAATTAGTGACGCTGGTTTCTAATTCGTTTTCTTTTAGGTTGACTAATTTCTCTAGCATCAGAAAACCAAACACATCATTCACTTCATGAAATCCTTCTGTACGTTCTTGCAATTCGTTACCATTGAATCCAAAACTTCGTATTAATTTATTCGATGTTTTTCGTGTGTTTCCAGTGGCGAGTCAGCAGATTTTTCGTCGATAATTTTTTTTCCTCTTTATGACAATGGGAAAACCAGGATTTTCCCATTCCATCTCTTCCCATTCATTATTAGCCTTCAGAACAAACTTATCGTATGTGCTTTCGCTCCTCAAATCTTTAAATTTTTTAATGCTGCTGAAATGCACCTTTGAGCCATCATCAAGTCTACGAGTATTTCTTTTTTTTTGCATTTGTACTTGCACAGTATTCATTACGCTCAATACTGAATGAAACCATAACAAATTGAGGAAAAAGGTTAAGTTCATGGAGAAAAGGAGAGATTTTGCATTCGCCAAGAGCACCTACTCTTGAAATTTCATCTTCTATGCAATTGATAATACATTCAAAAAATTTCTTCCACAATATTGCACAGCATTGTAAAAGTTTATGGTTATAAGTTTTGAAGACGTGAAAAGACTGTAATAGACGCATTAGAGTCTTTATTAGACTGAAAGAGGCTAATTCATACCACGAAGATATTTATTTACTGAACATTATAGGTAATAATATATCACTGTAAGCACAAAATGAAAAAATAACCCCTCCTCCTTGAGAAATAAAAGGGCCAATCGGTCATTTTTCAAAAAATTTCTTAAGAAATGTTAGGGAAATTTTCTTATTCAAACTACATGCTAACGCGCTATTTCATAAACATTACGCAGATGGTCATTAAAAGAATATAATAACACTCTGATTTCTTGTTATCAATTTTACATTCAGACGCGCTGAACAATATAGACACTAGAGCTGTTTTTTGCTGGGGGGCCCTGTGCCCACCCTTGCTTGGGGGGGCCAGGCGGCAATGTCCATTTTGCCATTACTTAAATCCGCCACTGTGACGGATAAAACCACAAAAACGTTGTTGCACTGGATTCAAAGGAGATGGTAAGTATTAATATTAATCGATTCGCAGGAAGACAAAAAAGAAGAATTAATTTTGTTATTTAACAATAAATTGTTCATTAGATTTAATATTTTAATCACTTTTAGGCTGTACTCTAAGGGCACAAGGGTAGGGTTGTCATCTGCCAGTCAAGTTTTTAATTTTTATGTCAGAGGCACTGATGTCAACATTTTGGCAAAACATGTCCAATTTTATACGTTTAAGTTGTATTTAGTCTTCAGGTAGATGAGAGAAATTAAACGACTGTTGAACTAGGATGGACTTGTTTCGGAATAGTGTAGGGGACATGTAGGGGACACCGGGGCGGGGCAGGGTACCGGGGCAGAACGGTTTGCATACCATATTTCTCACTGTAAAGGCTAGATGTTACTAGCGCTCTCTGTTATCGTTTAGTAGAACGCCACGCATCGGTCGGCAACAATGAACAGATTAGAGCAAACAGTTCAAAGTGTTTTCGGCTAAACGTAATGAATTTGTGCATGTGGATATAACTTTTCAGGATTTTTAATACAATGTAAGTTATTTAATTATTTGTTTTGACTTTTTTTGTTCATTTAACTGTACACGGCATGTGTACAAGTATCTTTTGACATATTCACGACAAAATAATAAAGCGTTTCTATGCAAAGGTTATGTTTTGTTATGAGTAGCTTGTGGGGCAGAACGGTGTGGGGCAGAACGGGTTGGGATCCCATTCTGTCCCCTGATTATCAACGATCTCATTTTGATGCCTTGTGTTGCTTTCAGATGGTTCGCAATTATATTAGAAAGACCGATCGGCAACGGTGGAGTTCTGAAACTATGGAACGAGCTGTAGCTGCAGTAGTAAGTGGCGTAATGGGTTGCAAGAAAGCTTCAATTCAATTCCAGCTTCCACAAACTACATTGGAAAGATACGTGAAAAAGCGAGGACTGACCCAAATTCTGTGATTGATAAAACCGCTGGCAAATATCACTGTGTTTTTACTCAAGACCAAGAGGTAGAACTAGTTGTATATTTAAAGGATATGCAAAAGAGATTGTTTGGTTTAACATTAAAAGAACTCAGAAAGCTAGCCTATCAATTAGCGGTTAGGAATGGTTGTGAGCATCGATTTAAAAAAGATATAGAAATGGCGGGAGAAGACTGGGCCCACTCATTTATGAGGCGTCATTCAAAGTTAAGTTTGAGGAAGCCTGAGGCCACTTCTGGAGCACGTGCCATGGGATTTAACCGAGTAGCAGTCGCGCAGTTCTTTACATTATTAAATAAAGTTATTATTGAAAAAAAAAATTACCTGTGAAAGAATTTATAGTTGCGATGAGACTGGCATTACAGTGATTCCAAAGCAGCATTCAAGGGTTATTGCAAATAGAGGACAACGTCAGGTAGGCGTATTGACTTCTGCTGAGCGTGGCAATACAGTAACGGCAGAAATTTGTTGCTCTGCTGCGGGAAATTTCATGCCCCCCCCTGTTGATTTTCCCGCGACAAAAGAAGAGACAAGAATTTGAATTGGGCTTGCCACCTGGAACTTGGATTGCGGCAAATGACTCTGGATGGATGACTATGGAAGTGTTTTTCGAATGGTTCAAGAAGTTTATTAAATTTTCTGGTGCAAAAAAAGAAACTCCCGTGCTCTTACTATTTGATGGACATGCATCTCATACGAAAAACCTCGATGTAATAGATCTGGCTCGAGATAATGGCGTTATTTTATTATGTTTCCCACCGCACTGTTCCCACAGGCTCCAGCCTCTAGATGTGGCATTTATGAGACCTTTAAGTCTATACTACGAAGATGAAGTGCGAAGATGGTTGTGGTCAAAACCAGGTAACGTTGTTACTTTCACGTCGGATAAGAACAATAAAAAGTGAAAACCTTGAGAGTCTTAAAGCCAACCTGTCTCAAGAACACTGGTCGATAGTTGAAGATGAAGATATAGACACGGCGTTTGAAAATTTCATCAATACTTTCTTATGGCACGTGCCATGGGATTTAACCGAGTAGCAGTCGCGCAGTTCTTTACATTATTAAATAAAGTTATTATTGAAAAAAAAATTACCTGTGAAAGAATTTATAATTGCGATGAGACTGGCATTACAGTGATTCCAAAGCAGCATTCAAGGGTTATTGCAAATAGAGGACAACGTCAGGTAGGCGTATTGACTTCTGCTGAGCGTGGCAATACAGTAACGGCAGAAATTTGTTGCTCTGCTGCGGGAAATTTCATGCCCCCCCCTGTTGATTTTCCCGCGACAAAAGAAGAGACAAGAATTTGAATTGGGCTTGCCACCTGGAACTTGGATTGCGGCAAATGACTCTGGATGGATGACTATGGAAGTGTTTTTCGAATGGTTCAAGAAGTTTATTAAATTTTCTGGTGCAAAAAAAGAAACTCCCGTGCTCTTACTATTTGATGGACATGCATCTCATACGAAAAACCTCGATGTAATAGATCTGGCTCGAGATAATGGCGTTATTTTATTATGTTTCCCACCGCACTGTTCCCACAGGCTCCAGCCTCTAGATGTGGCATTTATGAGACCTTTAAGTCTATACTACGAAGATGAAGTGCGAAGATGGTTGTGGTCAAAACCAGGTAACGTTGTTACTTTCACGTCGGATAAGAACAATAAAAAGTGAAAACCTTGAGAGTCTTAAAGCCAACCTGTCTCAAGAACACTGGTCGATAGTTGAAGATGAAGATATAGACACGGCGTTTGAAAATTTCATCAATACTTTCTTATGGCACGTGCCATGGGATTTAACCGAGTAGCAGTCGCGCAGTTCTTTACATTATTAAATAAAGTTATTATTGAAAAAAAAATTACCTGTGAAAGAATTTATAATTGCGATGAGACTGGCATTACAGTGATTCCAAAGCAGCATTCAAGGGTTATTGCAAATAGAGGACAACGTCAGGTAGGCGTATTGACTTCTGCTGAGCGTGGTAATACAACGCAACGGCAGAAATTTGTTGCTCTGCTGCGGGAAATTTCATGCCCCACTGTTGATTTTCCCGCGACAAAAGAAGAGACAAGAATTTGAATTGGGCTTGCCACCTGGAACTTGGATTGCGGCAAATGACTCTGGATGGATGACTATGGAAGTGTTTTTCGAATGGTTCAAGAAGCTTATTAAATTTTCTGGTGCAAAAAAAGAAACTCCCGTGCTCTTACTATTTGATGGACATGCATCTCATACGAAAAACATCGATGTAATAGATCTGGCTCGAGATAATGGCGTTATTTTATTATGTTTCCCACCGCACTGTTCCCACAGGCTCCAGCCTCTAGATGTGGCATTTATGAGACCTTTAAGTCTACAGTATATTCAGATAAGAGATAGACCGGATGTAAACAAAAGGTTCGGGTGATTTTCACGCTAACGCCGCCGTCTCGACGTAAAACAGGAGCCCTCATTGGTCAATTCGCAATTAAATGCCTATGCCGAGTGGCAGAGCAGTCGTATCAAGGCAGAGTCACATTCAGGTTCAGACGTGTTACGTATGTCGTGTGCATCATTGCAATTTGATATTTCTTTGGACGTTTTCGTTTGTTATCTTATTAAGTTGTTGAGTTTGTCGTTGTTATTGTTATACCTTGTTATTGATTGTTATTGTTATCAACTGCTTGCGCAAAATGCCCAGTAGTACAGATACTGCCGATGAAGTTGTAAACTCCTGTAGTCCACCTAGGAAACGCTCTAAAAAAAGACACCTGAGTGCAGAAATGAAAGAGGTCATTTTGAATATATATGTATAAGATCGAGCGCGAGGAGAACGAGGCATCAACCATCAAAGAAATTGTTGTGAAGGTTTCTCACAAAGTTGGGGTGTGTCGCGCATCAGTGTTTAATGTGTTAAGACAATAAAAAAAAAATCACACCTTTTCTGAGCCAATGACCAGTAAACATCGCAAAAGTATTGTTAAATTATTGGATGAAGCTGATAAGCATGCGATTAGGAGGAAAGTGCACGAATTCTTCTTTAGAAATGAAATACCTACTATAGATAAAGTACTGCAGGAGGTAAATGGAGATACAACGTTGCCAAATTTCAAACGATCAACTTTCCATGCGTTACTGAAGCATTTAAATTTCAAATGGAAAAAACGGGGTCGTAATAGTTTACTACTGGATAGAGAAGAAATTGTGCTATGGAGGAGGGATTATTTAACAAAAATTGGGAAATATAGAAATCAAAACAGGAAGATTTATTACCTTGATGAAACGTGGGTAAACGCAGGACACACTACAAGTAAAGTATGGGTTGATGATTCTGTAACTTCATCCAGGAGGGCCTTTCTAGATTGACTGTCCACCGGATTAAAAAATCCAGCGGGTAAATACGAGTAATAGACAACAATCGGATGTTTTTCAAACCTTGGGAACAAGGTTCTAAACATTAATTCCAGGGGGCAGATAAAACATATTACAAGTAACAAAACTTTTATAACTTTCGATAAAATGCGTGGATGTTTTATTGTCATTTTCATTTGTTAGAACTTTTTTAAGCCATGTTTTTATGTGTTTTCGATATTTCAATAATTTTTTAATGTAATCTTAAAATATGTCGAATATTATAAACTTAAAAAAAGTTACTAAGTTTTATATTGTGTACCGTTCCTAATATTTCTAATCATTTTAATTCATACTTTAAGCTTTATAAAGTTATAATTTGTTAATATTAATATTTGCGCGTATTTCAGGTTCCTGATCATTCATTTTTTAAAGGTTTATAACTTTAAATTAAATTGTGAAGCGCTGAGTAATCATACGACGTTCAATATTCTTTCTTTCAATATGACTAAATAATCCCAATTATAGCAATCTGATACTCATGTCTCAATGTTTTTTCGCTGAATGTGATGAAAACATTTGAAAATCTATACCAGTTAGTACTTCGATTTCCAGGTAAAGGGAAAAGGCTCATTATCTGCCATATTGGCAGTGAGGATGGATTTGTTGTTGACGGTCTGTGGTGCTTTGAGTCTAAGAAAACTGGAGATTACCACGAGGAAACGAATGGCGAATCGTTTGAACAGTGGTTTTCAAAAATTTTACCGAACTTAGAGGAAAACGCAGTAATTGTGTTGGATAATGCGCCTTATCATTCTCGAAGAATGGAGAAGGTCCCAACAACGGCTTCAAGGAAAGTTGATGTTCAAAATTGGCTCCGCTCGAAAAATATCAACTTTGAAGAAGCAATGCTGAAAGTACAATTATTAAGAATTGTCAAGGATCACAAGGCGGAATATCAAAAATACGCCATTGACGAAATGGCAGCAAGTCAAAATAAAACTGTGCTCCGTTTACCTCCATACCATTGCGAGCTCAATCCCATTGAGCTCATATGGGCAGAGGTTAAAAATTATATAGCTAAGCACAATACAACTTTTAAATTTTGTGACCTCAAATGACTTTTCAAAGAAGCACTAGAATTAATAACAGCGCAAAAATGGGAAAACTGTATTAAGCACGTGAAAGACAAAGTTGAAAAGAGAATGTGGGAACTGGACAATATTTTAGAGGAACAAGTCGAGCCATTCATTATTGACGTTGGTGCTTCAGGCAGTAGCGATGATGAAAGCTCATCAAGCTCATCTTTCCAATAAAAGATGTCGTTCATCAAATTCGGTAAGTTATAAGTAATTATAAAGCTACTGTATTTTTTAATTAATTATTGACATTTTTGAACCCATTTTGGCAAAACCTATTCAAGAATCTACTTTCTGACAATGTTCAACCATGCACATTTTTTTACGTTTTGAACGTTTTAATTTGGTTACATATTTACCTAGAAATCAAA